TGGCTAATTTGCAATTTTTACAACCTTTAGGGCTTTAGCTTTATTTTTAAATTGTACTATAGCTTTTAAATCAGGCGTCACAGCCAAAACGACCTAAACTGCCTTATTTTCAAAAATAAATAAATCAAATTTTGGTGATGCTGCTGTATTCAAGCCAAGGTAAATGTAAAAGTTGAAAAAATCAATTACGTATCCAAAATATGTGATGCCAGAATATGGTGTCACTATAGCTCTGTGTGGAATGTACAGCTTAAAGGCATGTCATTTAAGGGATTGACCCTCTACGTGCTGTACACTATTTTTTTTTTCTGCTTTGTTAAATATACCCCATGGCAGTGCCCAGTTCACCATGCCCTTTTTTGACAATAACTTGTCTATTAGCCTTTAAAAAAACCCCCCCCCAATTCTTAGACTTTGATGGAATTTAGTGCTAAGTTCAGGTTTTTTCCATTCATAAAGCATTCCACTAACTCTCCCTATGCATCAAACCTGGCAGATTCACCGATCCCTGCCCCACTGTGTTGATGAATTAAGGGACTGTTATGATTTGAAATAAGTCATATTAAAAAAAAATAATTAAGAAACATTTAAAGTAAACCTTTCAGTTAACCCTTCAAGTTTAAGGATAAGGTTGCTAAACTGCCCCTACTCCAGCAGCATGTACTTTTCTAGCTCCCAGTCTACTTTGTTCAGCCACCCAGAGCAAAGTGAAATACCTGGTACATCTGCGTAAGAGTGAGGATGTGACTCAGTCGCCCTCTCCCATGTGACCCATGTTAACTGCTAATGTTATCTCTATGACTAAGCCCATTATTGTGTGAAACGTGAAGAGGATCCATGGCAGGATGATGTGTAGCTATGTGCTACAATAAATTTTTCAGCGAAGCCTGAGGTGTGTGACCAGACTTTTTCTCTGTGAGTAACTGCTACAAAATGTTATGATACGCATAAGTTGCCTAAAACATTAGGAAAATAGGAAATAACATGAATCAGCATTTATTCTTCTGCTCATCCTGGGGTCGATTTTCCTCTAAGGGCACATCCAGGGAGGTTGGCTACACTCCCTTACACCTTAAACTTCCTAATAATATTTGCAACTGTTTTCACAGGAACACAAAGCTGCTTGAAGATGGTCTTATGGACTTCACCTGACATGCTGGTCTATAATGTAATATCTGATCTCCTCAAACAATTCTCTCCTTTGCTTTCTCTGGTCTATATCCACTGTGGTGCACACAATGATATAAAACAGCAGAATGACTACTTTTCTCCATTTAAATAGACTGACTGATGTCAAGATAAAATACATGTGTGATACTAGTTACACAAAACAGTTAGATTTAAATATATCACTATGATCTAATCTTTTATAATCTTTGTTAGGGCTACCAACAAATCTGTCCAGGATATTTTTGAATATCTTGTAGAATAAGTAATCATTTATCTCTATTCACACTTTCTTTGCTTTACCCTGTGACATAACAAAGGCATGCAGGACCACATGAGACTACTGCTTCTAATTCTATCACTTTTCAGATGGTACGAATAATTGTTTCAATGAAAAATAAGGGCACCTAGAATTTGTACATGTTTGTAAATGTTTACTGTTTTACCTGCCAAATGATTTGTAACTCTCTCCACCCAGTCTCATCATTCACAATAGAGTCCCACTTTAAACCACCATTAAACACAATAAAGACTTTATCACATTAAAACACAGATTTCTGCTTGCACTCTGTTCAACACTGCACTGATTTAAGGGAATTCCTGCCTTCATTTTATTCCCTGGCAATGGTATTTTGATGAACTGTATCACAGAATATTTGTCATTTAGCATCACATAATACTGAAAGTGTTGTGCCCTCAGGGTACATCTGACAAAGTGTCAACACTCTTCCTTGTATAGCCTTTCCTGTATCCTGTTTAATATTTTATACAAGTTACTGGGCATCTATACTGATTATATACAGATCTGACATTTAGCTAACTGTTAGCACACAAATGATGATATAAATTATGTTCTATAACAACGGTATATATCTTTTTATAGGCACCCTGAGGGGTGCCTGGTCCTGTCATATGGGTCAATGAAGTCAAAGTGCGTTTTCTTCAGTTCAGTGATTTTGTTACATACTATAGCAAGGGTAGGCAAACAGAGCAATCCAGCTTTGGTGAGACTACAAATCCCATGAAGCCACAGGCATGATTAAATTTATAGTTTTACCACAACTGTAGAGCCCGAGGTTGCCTACCCCTCAACTATAGTCTTGTTTCACAAAGGTTTACTACAAGAAAAAGTACCCATGTGACTGTACCTTTCAGTTCTCATTGGTCTTAACTGTGTTAGCTTTGTAAATTGAGCCTAAAGTCCCATTTTGGTGCTCCTATAGATTTGAGCAGAAACTGTGTTGGCAGTAAAAATCATTTGAGACATGCATTCGTATTTATAAATGTGCACAGCTGAGTCTTCTCACTGACATCACTGGTTGCCAGGAGCTTGGCGCGATATCAGCTAGAGCATCCCATTCAGCTCCTGGCAACCAATGACGTCAGTGAGCTGAGCGGGAAGCCGGGCACAACATCACAGGTTGCTAAGAGCTCTTAGCAACTTGGGATGCTGTGGCCTCCCCTCTTCTGCACCCCCCCCCCACACACGTGCTGCCCCCCTAATGAGATGCCACCTGAGGCGAGCACCTCATTTATAGGGACAGCCCTGCCAGCACTACTGTACTAACAGTCTAAAGTGTCTACTGGAAGGGTCAATGCACCTAGAACTAATATTTCATTTTATTCTTAGGTAGATTCTGGAGAATTAAACTACTGATTGCCCATTTGTACACACTTGCTGTAGCAATTACAATAGGTTTCCACTCCAGTCATTGGTTTTTATTTTATATTATAGAGAATGTAAGTGGTGGTGCCTGAACATCATGAAGTGTAAAAGGCTATGAACACAAACAGAAGAAAAGGAGCAAGAGAAAAATGTATGTTTACAACATTCTGTAAATAAGTCAGTGTGACAAATGTAATGTCATAGCAGTCACTGGGAAATGTAAACCAAACTGTCACTGTGCTAAACTGTAACTCCTAATAGCAAACAAACAAGCGTATGCAACTAGGGAAAGCAGCAGTTATAAATGAAGCAAAGCTGTCATATAATATATTAATTATCAGTGCATTCGAGTATGCCAACTGTAGCCTAATGAGTGTCTGATGGTAATCACTGACACAATTAATTA